TTTCTATCAGTTATATCACAATATTCTGTGATTTTCAGTTTGGTTTCTGGAGAATTGTCATTTTCTTTTTGTGGTGTTACTGTGGTTCTTCATGGTGCTTGATGAGTTGTTCCTCTGCTAGCTCATTTCAACTGGCAAACACCTTTCTTCTTAGGTAAAGCTTTTTTTTTTCTTGTTTCTAACAATTCAACAGGTTAGGCCCTTCTTTTATCTTCCAGTAGGTGGTGCTATACCACAAGTTTTTGGTTTCTCTTACCTGAGCTGCCTCTAGTTATGTTTGACAGTCAGCACTTTCCACTTTCTACCGCCTCCATCAGAGGTATCAGCCAGTGCCCTAGTTGTCACTGCTTATGCCTCCAGTGTCGTTGGTGCCATGCTGCTGCTGGTGTGGCTGGTGTCACTGCCTGGTGCACCAGGATGGTGGACAATTCTGCCATGTTTAGGACCTCCTGAGTTGCAGGCACTCCCACTGCAGAATGGGGGATAGCTCAGGTGGCACAGGAACCTCTGCTGTGTTCAGTATTGTCAGGTTTGAGGACTCTGCCGCTGTAAGCAGGGGGCGAGGAGAGAGAGTCATGGGTACCTCCACAGCTGGAGAGACAGGGTCCCAGACCCTACTGCCACTGCTGCCCAGTTATCTGTGGCTGTGGGCACCACTGCAGCCAGGCCAGAGCTGTATTCACCACCTCCCCTGTCGCTACTGAGTTTTCTGGGACTGCAGGTTCAATTGCCATGGCTGGGGGACCAGAACTGCAGGTACCACCTCCACTGTTCCCCAAGTTCCACCTCCTCTGTGTGTTCTAGTCCACCCACCTTTAGGTGTATGGATATGTGGGATTCTCCAGTGTCCTGGTGTGTTGGGCAGAGGCACTTTTGTTGAGTCGTGGATGTTTTACTGATAGTAGATAGAAGGAGAGAGACAAAGAGAGCGTCTCCCTTTGCCATGATGCTGATATCACTCTCCATTCACTTTTAATGGAGTTAATGATACAGATGGTCCCCAACTTATGATGGTTCAACTTATGATTTTTCAACTTTACAATGATGCGAAAGCGATACACATTCAGTAGAAACCATACTTTAAATTCCGAATTTTGATCTTTTCCCAGGCTAGTGATATGCAGTACTATACTCTCTTGTGATGTGGGGCAGTGACAGTGAGCCACAGCTCCCAGTCAGTCATGCGATCACAAGGGTAAACAACTGATACACTTACAATCATTCTGTACCCAGACAACCATTCTGTTTTTCACTTTCGATACAGTATTCAATAAATTACATGAGATATGCAACACTTTATTATAACATTGGCTTTGTGTTCGGTGATTTTGCCACACTGTAGGCTATTTTTGTAAGTGTTCTGAGCACGTTTAAGGTAGGCGAGGCTAAGCTATGATGTTTGATAGGTTAAGTGAATTAAATTCATTCTCAAATTACGGTATTTTCAACTTATGGTGGGTTTATTGGGATTTAACCCCATCATAAGTTGAAGAAGATATGTATTTGGAGCTTATATCAATTTTTATACTATTTGCTTAATCAAATAGTTTTAATTATTCAATTTCCCCTCTTTTAATTTGATAGGTATGTATTCTTCAGTGGTCACGCTATAAATTACAACCTGAACACTTGACTTATTGCAGTTAAATACAAATTATTTTACCATTTCCTGATAATGCTAGATCCTTAGAACACTTCAATTCCATTTGTCTCCATTTTCATTATTTTTGCCTTGTATTTTAATTCTACATATATTTTAAATTCTGTAGGACATTATTAGTATTGTTTTTCTTATACGGTTAACTTTCAGCTATATTTAACCACATTGTTTTTGGTTCTCTTCATTCCTACTTGTATTTTCATACTTCTCTCTGGGATCGTTTTCCTTCTGACTGAAGAATTCCTCTCAGCATTTATTTCAGTACAGCTTGCTGATGATATATTCTCTCTTTCTGTTTGTTTAAAAGCATCTTTATTTCACCTTTAGTTCTAAAAGGATATTTTCACTAGGTTGCACATTTTTTTTAATGTCTTATTGTACTGTTTTATTGCTTTCATTGTTTCTATTAAGAATCAGGTTAATGTCTTCTAATTGCTCCTTCAAGGATGTTGCGTCCTTTTTCTCTGAGTGCTTTTAAGATTTTCTCTTTGATTTTCAACTGTTTAAATATGATGTGCCAAGGAGTGGTTTTCTTTGTTTTATACTACTGAACTTCTTGAATCTGTGTATTGATATCTTTCATCAGTTTCGGAAAACCATCTGCCATTATCTCTTCAAATATATTTTCTTCCTCATTATTTCCTCTCTTTCCATGATTCCTATTTCACATATGTTAGCACTTCTAACTGTGACCAACAAGTTTCTTACACTGCATTCTTTTTTATTCATATACATATTTCATTTTTGTCTTTGATTCCATGTTTCAGTTTGGACCTGTCACTCCGTTTACTTTTTCACTATGTCCAATCTGCTATTAAACCTATCAGTTAGGTTCATTGAGCTCTTGTTGGGTTTCCAACCCAATTAGCTATACTGTGATTCATTTCTAATGCTAACTACCCAGACTTAACATCAGACTCTTAAGGGCTTAGTCCTCCACGAGACTGACCTTACTTCAGATGCTAGCCACAGTTCAGCTGGTCCCCAGGCCACCCTCACTTCCAACCAAGTGGCTACAAATTCAGGAGTTCCCATGTCCCCCTCAGAGTCAATAGCTTACTAGAATGATGCAAAGAACTCAGAAAAACACTATACTTACAATCACAATTTTATTGTAAAGAATACAGATCAGGAATAGCCAAATGGAGACACATAGAGAAAGGTCCGAGAGGGAACATGGAGCTTCTATGCCCTCTCCTTGTGGAATCTGGGCATGTTACTCTGTTGGCACATCATTGTATTTTAAATCCTGGCTTGCTGACTCCAATATCTGTATTACCTGTTGGTCGGCTTCCATTTGTACAATTTATGATAGTAATAAATATGACCATTTAAGAGGTTGTATCAAAGAACATTTTAATCCAAATGGTAGATAGTGAACCGTGGTGCTCTATGTTAGATAGTAAAATGTAGTCAAAATACATCAACTCATTCAAAAGTTAGCACTGAGAAATAAAATATAACAATGGGACATTAAATCTTACTCTTTGCATTCTGTTGGTAATATTTACTCCATAAAGATAGAAAATGAACCATACCAGGTTTATCTGAATCCTTAAAAATCGTTATCAGTGTCTCCTTCTAAGAAAAGTAGAAGGTATTATAGGAAAGACTACAATAATATTAACTATAATACTCTTATATAGATGAGGGCATGGCATACTATACAATCTATATGACTTTTATCTAAGGTCAATAAGTTGGTGAAAAGGGAAAAGTTAGAGTACAGCTTATTGCCTCTGACAGTTTTTATAATATTCGGCCACTATCCATCATATGTAATGTCATTGTCTCTTCTTTTAGCCGTCTTTTCCCTTTCTTTCCTCAGGTATCCTTTTATTTCTTATATTTTCATTTTTCATCTCTTTTTTTTTCAGTTTCCTCATTTGATACCTGTAGACATTGTATCCATCCACTTCTGTTATGAAGCCCCTAACCTTTAAGACACTTAAGGCATACAAATGAATGACTGTATATTCCAGTAAAAATTCCCTAAGCCACTTTAAAAAAATTCTATACAATATAATGATGCTGTTAGAGTTTGGAAAACGATTTCTTCTAATTTATTTCAGATAAAAAATCACTTTATAACACCGTATATTTAAAAGTATATACATACTGTTTAATCTCAAAATACATGGAATTTAACTATTTTTTTATTTAAATATCTCTCAGAGTTGATGTTTCAGTTTACTAATTTCTAGAAATACCATTTTTCATTACTCAGAAAAAAAGTTAAAATTACAACTATAAAATGTGTTTTTATTTGCTGGAGTTTTATATTGAAATGGATGCAGTCTTCATTCATGAAAGCTAGTTCTTTGTATTCATTAATAACTCATTAGTAAAATAAAGAATACTATAAGAGACAAATCTATTGATAAAATAAGTTGAGCAATATTATGTGGCATTCTACAACATGACACTTCTGTTTTGCTTTATGCTTTTAGTTTTGGGAATACAACAAAAGAAAATGCTCATCATAGAAATATACTGAAAATTTATAAGAAGGAAGTCTTTATTATAAGTGCAAGCTTCTCTCCTCAGCTTCAAAATAAGATGCTTCCCTTTTCACTTTTTTTTTCAGTTCAATAAACAGTTATTGAGTGGATATTCTGTGGAAATACAAAAAAATAAAGTCTATATTTTTGTAGAACCTGGTAGAAGAGACAGATTGAAAAACCAGTAATTTTAATACAGTGTGATGAATGCTATGATAAAGTTTATTCATGGTGCTATGACAGCATATACAAGGATCAGTGAGCCTTGACTAGAGATCAAGGTTGGCTTCTTATAGGAAATAATGCCTGAGCTAAATGTTGAAAGAGGCAGAAGAGTTAACTTGGAAAAGGAAAAGGAGCATAGGGTTTTTCCTGGCTGAAAGAAAAACACGAAGGTTTGAACCAGTATGAGGCTTATAGAAAACTCTGAAATGAAGTTGGAGAGTTAGGCCAAATAGTTTTCCAGAATATTTGAACAAAGCAAAGATGAAAATAGGCCATTGGACAAATTTTTAAATTCCTATCATAGGGAATGAAATATATATCCATCTTTAGTTGACATTTAATAAAGTTGAATACTTTCTTTTGTGTAACACTCCTAAAGAGAACATTTAAATCTGTTGCAGTATTTGAATTATGTTAGTATGGATATTTGTTTATAATTTGAATGTGTTTTCCTTAAATTCCTAATGCATTACGTTAAGAAACTAAACCTATAAATTTTCTAAATGTATTGAATTAGAATAAACTCTGAATGGAACCAATTAGTTTTTCCCATTCAAGTCTCTTTTTATAACTATTTGTTAACTATTTGTTATCTTTTTAAAAATCTTTTGTAGAATTCCTGTGCCTCAGCCAGAAACTTCTGCACAAAGAAAAGGAAGTAAACCAGACATGCCAATCACCTTCCAACGTATGTTGCTTTGACGATGATGATGATGATGATTTATAAAGTCTTTATGGAACACTGTTATATACAGATTGCTGTTTGATTTGATTCTGCATTTTTGGGTCATACCTGCCACTAGCATAATATAAGTACTTGTATTAAACTATATGTAGCTAGTTATTTTTGTTTCTATTTTTATTTAGCTTAAGTCCTTGTCAAAAGTACTGGTCCCAAATTTAGAACAATTTGGTATCATCACCAAAGTGCAAGTAAATATAAATAAACTTGTTTATATTAAGCACTTATTAAGTTGTTTCTTTGGTAGTACATCTCTTCAAATGTACTATTTTGAATTAACAGAAGAATACTAAAGTAGGAAGTTTAATTTTTATTTGACAATAAATATAGGTAAAGCTTAAAAGATAGTTGTAGTTCCTTTCTTTGCTGTTAGGTTGACTGGTTTGAATATTTGGGTTCATTTCTGAAGTGATTTCATGACACAATTTAGTTCTGGTAGGGTATCTTTAGAGTGGTTTTGTTTAAATCAGATGTTATAAGGGGTCATCTCTCTAGACTTTTTAGCACTTTAGATCCTTCTTGCTTTTTGAGTTACTCTTATTTGGGGATTGACTTCTAGTCAGTCTGACAGATTAAGAACCCACAAAGGTCCCGGGTTTCAGCACCAAAAAAAGAAAAGAACCCACAAAGGGATCTGGACTATACCCCCCAAAAAAATAAAAGATAGAAAATAAGGGGAAGATCATTATAATATAAATATATAACCAAGCTGAAAGCAAGAGTGAAAAATCCCTAAGTGGCAGAAACAAAAGAATTTAAATTTAGTGGTGAGTAGGAACTAAAACTAAAACTGCTCTTGGGCATTTCAGAACTAGATAGAGGCCTAAATGATCATAGGCTGAGGTGTAATAACGACATGGAAAAGAGAGTCCAGACCACAGGCCTCTTACATGTGAAGTAGAACTAATATAAAGTTGGAAGGTTATTAAGGTCCAGATAAATTATTCCCATCAGCATGGGGAAGTATCAAGGAGCTTCCTGTATTCCCTGGGCAATGGGTAGGAAAAATTGAATTGACTTAGTACCCACTGAATTGAATTAGAACCCTTATTAAACATCAAATTCTATTCCATTGGTCTATATGTATGTCCCTATGCCAGTATCACAATGTTTTGATTACTGTAGCTTTGTATCAAGTTTTGAAATTGGGGTGTATGAGTCCTCCAACGTTGTTCTTCTTGTTCAAGATTGCTTTAGCATTCGGGACTCCTTGTAATTCCATATGAATTTAAGGATCCATTTTACCATTTTTGCAAAATAGGCTTTTGAGATTTTGATAGGGATTGCATTGAGTCTGCAGATTGTTTTGGATAGTATTGACATCTTAATAATATTAACTCTTCTAGTCCATGAACATGGGATTTCTTTCTGTTCATTTTTAGACATTCTTTAATTTATTTCAACAATGTTTTGTAGTGTTCAGTACACAAGTCATTCACCTCTTGCTTAAAGTTATTCCTAGGTATTTTATTCTTTTAGATGCTATTATATTTAGAATAGGTTTCTTAATTTCCTTTTGAATCTCTTATTATTGGTCTGTGGAGATTTTTTTTTCTTTTTTAGTGAGTTTAGGTAATTTCTTTGCTTTTAGGAATTTGTTTCATCTAGGTTTTCTAATTTGTTGGTATATGATTGTTCATAGTGTTCTATTATTATCATTTTTATTTCTGTAATAAATCACATTTTCATTTCTGCATTTAGTTTTTGTGTCTTCTCTCCTTGGGGAGAAGGTCAGTCGAGGTAAAGATTATCAATTTTGTTGGTCTTTACATAGGACAAGCTTTTGGTTTCTTAGAATCTATTATTTTTTCTATTCTCTATTTCATTTATATTTACTCTAAGCATAATTACTTCTTTTTCTTAACTTTGGGTTTAGTTTTCTCTTTTTCTAGTTCCTCAAAGTTTAATGTTACGTTATTGAATGAGATCTTTCTTTTTTTTTAACATCTTTATTGGAGTATAATTGCTTTACAATGGTGTGTTAGCTTCTGCTTTATAACAAAGTGAATCAGTTATACATATACATATGTCCCCATATCTCTTCCCTCTTGCGTCTCCCTCCCTCCCACCTTCCCTATCCCACCCCTCTAGGTGGTCACAAAGCACCGAGCTGATCTCCCTGTGCTATGTGGCTGCTTCCCACTAGCTATCTATTTTACATTTGGTAGTGTATACATGTCCATGCCACTCTCTCACTTTGTCACAGCTTACCCTTCCCCCTCCCCATATCCTCAAGTCCATTCTCTAGTAGGTCTGTGTCTTTATTCCCGTCTTGCCCCTAGGTTCTTCATGACCATTTTTTTTAGATTCCATATATATGTGTTAGCATATGGTATTTATTTTTCTCTTTCAGACTTACTTCACTCTGTATGACAGTCTCTAGGTCCAGCCACCTCACTACAAATAACTCAATTTCATTTCTTTTTATGGCTGAGTAATATTACATTGTATATATGTGCCACATCTTCTTTATCCATTCATCCAATGATGGACACTTAGGTTGCTTCCATGTCCTGGCTATTGTAAATAGAGCTGCAATTAACATTTTGGTACCTGACTCTTTTTGAATTATGGTTTTCTCAGGATATTTGCCCAGTAGTGGGATTGCTGGGTCGTATGGTAGTTCTACTTTTAGTTTTTTAAGGAACCTCCATACTGTTCTCCATAGTTCTTTTTTTAAATATAGGTATTTCTGCTGTAAATTTCCCTCAGATCACCACTTTCACTGCATCTTATAAGTTTTTATGTTGTATTTTCATTTTTGCTCATCTCAAGGTATTTTATAATTTCCCTTCTGACTTCTTATTTGACCTATTAGTTGCTTAAGAGTGTGTTGTTTAATTTCCACATATATGTGAATTCTCTAGTTTTCCTTCTGTTGTTAATTTCTAGCTTCATTCTATTGTGGTCAGAAAAGATACTTGTATTATGTGATTCTTTTTAAATTTATTGAGGCTTATTTTGTGGCCTAACATATGGTCCATCCTGGAGGTATTTCGTGTATTTTTGAAAAGAATGTATTCAACTGTTGTTGTATAAATATATATTTAAAGAAGTTTAGCTTCTACCCCTGTTCCCTGCATCCTCTTCCTTCTCCACCATTATAGGTAACTTTTTAATTCATTTTATGGTATGTCTTTTCATTGTTTGTTTTATAATATAAGAAGGTATGTGTGTATATCAGAGAGAGAGAGTCACGCCCCCCCCTTTCTTAGATAAACGTACAACTACCTTTGAGAGCAATTTGACAAGACCTAATTTATTGAAAATGTTACACTTTGTGACCTATATGTTGGGCACACTGGGAGACATGTTCTAAGATGAGTATTGGAGCATTGTTTAAAATAGGAAAACTCTTTTACGTTCATTATTTTTTTCTTTTTTTAATTGAGGTATAATTAGCGTGTAACATTATATTAATTTCACGTGTGCAACATAATGATTTGATATTTGTATATATAGCAAAACGATTCCCACAGTAAGTCTAGTTAACATTCATCACCATACATAGTTACAAAAAATTTTTTTCTTGTGATGAAAACTTTTAAGATATACTCTCTTAGTAAGTTTCAAATATGCAATATGATATTAACTATAGTCACCATGCTGTACATTACATCTCCATGACTTACTTATTTTATAACTGGAAATTTGTACCTTTTGACCCACTTCACCCACCTGCTCCCAAACCCCTACCTCTGGCAACCACCAATCTGTTCTCTGTATCTATGAGCTTGTTTTTTTCTTGGGGGGAGGTCTGTCTTTTTTTTTATTCCACATGTGAGATCATACAATATTTGTCTTTCTCTGTCTGACTTATTTAACTTAGCATAATGTCCTCAAGTTTCATCCATGTCAAGATTTCATTGTTTTCATGGCTGAATAATATTCCATTGTATATACACCACCTGTTCTTTATCCATTCTTTCATTGATGGGCCTTTAGGTTGTTTTCAGGTCTTGGCTATTGTAAATAATACTACAGTGGACAGGGGGGTGTATATATATTTTTTTTAATGTTATTTTTTAACCATTATGCGTATTGTATTTTTTTTTACAGCAGGTTCTTATTAGTTATCCATTTTATACATATTAGTGTGTATATGTCAATCCCACTCTCCCAATTCATCACACCACCACCCCGCCCCAAAGCAGGGTGTATATATCTTTTTGAATTAGTGTTTTTTATTTCTTTGGATAAATACCCAGTAGTGGAATTGCTGGATCATATTGTTGTTCTATTTTTACTTTTTTGAGGAACATCCATACTGTTCTCCATAGTGGCTGCACCAATTTACGTTCCCACCAACAGCATATGAGGGTTCGCTTTTTGCCACATCCTCCCCAACACTTGTTATTTCTTGTCTTTTTGATAATAGCCATTTTAACAGGTGTCAGATGATATCTCGTGGTTTTGGTTTGCATTTCCCTAATAGTGATGTTGAACATCTCTTTTATGTACTTGTTGGCCATCTGTATGTCTTCTTTGGAAATATGTCTATTCAGATCCTCTGCCCCCTTTTTAATCACATTTTTTATTTGTTTGTTTGTTTGTTATCGAGTTGAACAAGTTCTTTATATACTTGGATATTAACCCCTTATCAGATATGTGATTTGCAATCATTTTCTCGCATTCTGTAGGTTGCCTTTTCATTTTGTTGATGGTTTCCTTTGCCATGCAGAAGTTTTTTAGTTTGATGTAGTCCCATTTGTTTATTATACTGCAGTTTTAATGAATGAATTAGATCTATATGTGTTAACATGGTTACTGATGTATTTCCAGATATGTTTCATGATAGCTTTGGAAATTACTGTGTCTGTAAATTCAAAAGCCACTCATTTTGTGAATATATAGCTAATTTGTTTATGTGGTTTGATTGTGCTAGTTATTTTGAAGACTACAAAGTTTAACATCTTATTGTTTGTATCTGGTAACTTAGATAAGTAAGATATACATTGAAAAGTTCACAATAACAGTACTACTGAGATCATAAGACATTATAGGTAGCCTCTGACTTACACAATTCTTTAAAAAGTCTATTATACTTGCTACCAAGCATAGATCTGATCACTGATTGAAATACTCTGTTTTTTTCTAGACTTGTAGATCTTGCACCAGCATGGGGTCAGTGAAGGCAAGGGGGAAAGAGGGAAAGGAAATAGCTCCTCTCCGACCCCCATGCCTCCATACACCCCTACCTATCACTCTTATCCACATAATGAAATGCTTAGAGTAGATTTTGTGAAGAAAAATCACTCTGCCTATACACATACATTTATACCATGTCCTTTTTCACCTCACAACCTAAATGTGGTCTTCTCCTGAAATTTTTCCTCATTAAAACATAAATCCGTTCTCACCAGAAATAAGGGTAAAATGAATCATTAAAATAACGGTGATCACTATAATTCTGGTATATAATTAGATATATACAAAAATATAATTTTGCTAGGTAATTAACCTGTATCTTAGTTATGCATTAGGCTTAAACAATAATGTTTTTCATTTGGTAATTTTAGTAATATTCAAGCTAAAAATAAAAGAATTCTAGTGTATAATTTTCCATCTTATTTTTAGAAAAACCTGAGCTCTAGATGTATTTTGTCTCCTAATTATTGCCTTTGAAATCTTGCTATTCACAACCAGTGACTGCCAATATCTCTTGTACTGATTTCATACCCATTTGTATTAATTATGAACATATAATTGGGATAGTTAATTACAGTCCCAAGTTACTAAATTAAAAAACAATGTGTGGGGCTTCCCTGGTGGCGCAGTGGTTGAGAGTCCGCCTGCCGATGCAGGGGACACGGGTTCGTGCCCCAGTCCGGGAAGATCCCACATGCCGCAGAGTGGCTGGGCCTGTGAGCCATGGCCGCTGAGTCTGCGCGTCCGGAGCCTGTGCTGTGCAACGGGAGAGGCCACAACAGTGAGAGGCCCGTGTACCGGAAAAAAAAAAAAAAAGCATTATTTTTTCAGAAGAACTTTTCATGTAAACATTAAACCTTGCCAGTTCTTAACACTCAAATAAGAAAACAGCCATAGAAAATATTCTGACTTATTCCTGACAGTGTCAATCATAGGATTTTTTTCCTATGCAATGGATGTAAGTACTTAATTTTTAAAGATTGGAATGGCCCATAACTTGTTCTTTGTGTGCATTATTTTAGAACAAATCAGTCAGGAATTCTCACTATAACTTGGGTTGTAATAGCTACTTATTGCTAATCTAATTATGTACTTTTATTAGTTTGGGTAAGGGAAATTCATTTCTAGAAGATAAAAAGGATAAATCATTGCCCAATCCTTACTTTACTCCTATTAACTTTGAGTTTTTCTCTTGGCTTTTATTGTTTCCTTTCCTTTTCATGTGTGATTAAGTTTTTTATCCTTTTCGTTTGTTATCAAGCGTTATTATAGGAAGTTAAGTGTGTTCATCAACTAAATTTTAAGTTTAAAAAAATACTCTTGTAATATCACAGTGTTTTGAATACCTGGTAAGAAGTTCACCTCTTCATCTTCTCTAAAAATTCAATGTAGTATTTTACCTCGTAATAATTTTTCAGTCTCTGTCTAGGTTTAAGAAACCAAGAAAGTAGTCTGGGGATATAGAATAAAGTTCAAAAACAGAAGTGATATATTAACCACACTGAAACCTTGCTGTTGAAACACCCTTCTGTCTCAGCATGGTTTTTTATGCTAGGAAGATAATAAATGCCAAGGCATAGGCAGCCTACAATGAAGCAATTCAGCAACCTTGCTAAACTCTGCAACAGTTGCTGTCAGCTTGCCTTAGCTAGCAGAACTGACAGTGTGAGAAGTTCCAACATCTCTTTTTTTTCTGATTCTTCTCTATGTCTTCAGTTCCCAGGGTGTATTATTTAATTAAAATATTATTTTAGCAAATTCCTTAGTGTAGTATTTGGTACATAATAGGTGCTCAATAATTATTTGCTTAGTGAATTGAATGAATGGATAAATGTCATAATGTGTAAGAGGGAAATTATATTCTGCCTTAGAAACTAAATATGTTAGATAAATTGTACATAAATGATAAACTGACTTGATGATAGAGAACAATTAAGAGTTGAAGTGGTCTTTCATTTCAATTTAGTTCCCTCTTTGTTTTCCATATGTTATTTATATCTGAAAGGAATATCATATCAACGGTCCTTTTGAAAGAGACTTATATCCAAAAAATAGACTGCATTCTGTGTGTGTTCAGGATACTTTTAGCAAAGATTAACAAAATTTTATTTTAAGCTTAAATTCCACCAATAGTGAGTGGAGGTCCAATCTCTAAAGGTTATTATTCTCATGAATTTTACTTAACTTGAATTTGTCACTGAATATAAAAGGAATGTTTGTTTATTTAAGAGCATTTAGGAAATATAGAAAAGTATAAAGAAGATAATTACAAATCTCGTTAATTCCAGAAACAGAAAAAACAATATTACTTTTTAATATTTTGGAGTAAAAGTTTATTTTGAAGGTGAATTCTAGTTCTTTCCTCACTTTAATAAGAGTTACCTTTTGGACATTCAGTTTACATTTTGTAGGTGGTTGATTTTTAAAGTTAATTAAGCTATTTCTCATTAATCTGTGCTTTTTTTGTAGTGATTTACCTGATTTGGTTAGTTTATAGGTCTCAATTGTGTTCATCTCGCTTCTTTAACAGGTCGAGAAAGCACAAGAACTGGTTGCATAGGGAAAGCCAGAAAAACTATAAGTGGTAAATGGGAAAGTCAGATGTGGAGAGAAAAGAAGTTCGGCTTAATAGATCACCTACGATACAGCTGTATTTATCCTGAAAGTATTCCACGGAGATTTGTTTTAGAACACAGAAATTTTCTTACTCAGCAGTATAATTCTCAGCCTGCAAAATACATACCACAAGAAGGAAGACCCCCAAATCTTTATGATTTTAAGAGTGCCCTAGTCCTTGGACATTTTGAAGTAACCATCTTAGGTAAGTCACCTGTTCTTCTCTTTGAATATTGTTAATTTGACATAATTTAAATATAGATGATACTATTTTGCTTTAAAAAATTAAGCGCTCCACATCCCCACCACCAAAAAAGTTAAGCCCAAGGAGAACTCCTGTTTGGCTCAAACCAAAGGAATGGAGCACTAATTCTGGAATACATTAAGCTTTAATTGTGGGCATTTAAATATTGGCAAGTCCTTAGAAAGTACTGGGGAGAGAAGAATGGGAACCAAGGGAACTTTCCTTAGCCCTGACTCTCCTACTACCTCTAAAACTGATTCACTTATCCTTTAGCCACCACTTTCTTGCTCATATTCTCTGCCTCTTTCTCAGTGCATCTGAACCACTGAAGGGTAAAATGTAGGTTAAAGAGAAAGGCATACTAATTGAGAGAAGATCCTATGAACAGACGTCTGTTTAGCCTGTGAAGAAAATAAAATTCTCAAGTAACAAGTTGAACAGAAGGAAGCTATTCAAAAAACTATCTTGTCTGACAAGGGACAATAAACTGATTTTCTCAGGTTGTTCTAAACTGACAGGTAGCTATAGAACTTATAAAAATTTAAAGTCAACACATTTTTAAACTTATGTTTATTTTTTAAATTTTGGCTATGTTGGGTCTTCGCTGCTGCGTGCGGGCTTTCTCTAGTTGCGGCGAGCAGGGGCTACTCTTGGTTGCAGTGCGCGGGCTTCTCATTGTGGTGGCCTCTCTCGTTGTGGAGCATGGGCTCTAGGCTCGTGGGCTTCAGTAGTTGTGGCCTGCGGGCTCAGTAGTTGTGGCTCACGGGCTCTAGAGCGCAGGCTCAGTAGTTGTGGTGCATGGGCTTAGTTGCTCCATGGCATGTGGGATCTTCCCGGACCAGGGCTAGAACCCGTGTCCCCTGCATTGGCAGGCAGATTCTCAACCACTGTGCCACCAGGGAAGCCCAACTTACATTTATTTTTAAAGTTTGTTTCTCATGAATGAAAAATGTACACAAAAATTAATTATAAAATAAAATCTTAACCAAAATGAGCTACTCTCTAGGTTTTTTATTTGTACTTGAAAGGAAGATCTTGTTACCTTAAAATGAAAGAATGATGAAGTGCCATTAGTAAATTAATTAAATGCCTGAAAGAGGATGCATTTCATAGAGTTTTGCACCTACAGTACTGAAGTGAATTACCTTGCCCTTAATCAAGATTCCTGTTTCCCCTTTACTCTCTTCCACTCCTTCTGCCCTACTCCCTCACACATAAATTTGTACATACATGTGATTGTGTATATGTATATAATCTATGGAAAGTATAAATTCCCATTGACTCTGTTAGACCTTCTCAGACCTAAGTTTCAAATGCTTCTTTTTCCTAGACTGCATTGCTTGTTATCTTTGGGTAACTTATCAATCTTAGTTTTATATCTAGGAAACAAAAATTATAGTGGAGATTTTTCATACATCACAAAAAGTAACCATGAAAACCATGAGTTCATCTGGAATCACAGAAATTGAATACTTCTCTTCTTTTCAACATGTCACTGATCCTCTAAACATCTCAGCTGTCTTATAAGTATTGTGAACCTTTGTAGCTTTACTATGCATCACCTAAAAGCAAGAATCAGATATAAAGAAGGCAAATTTGTCATTCTGTCCAACCAGCTGTAATCCATGTTAGAATTGGGCTGTTTTATATCCTACCATTTTTCAAGGACATAAGTGGATTTACAGGGATAAAAGACAGTGAAAAATATGCTATGTATGGATAAAACAAAACAGAGCATTTAAAAGGATACAGAAAAAGTAGGTATTACTAGGTGCCTATAAATAACAAATTATTACCATTCGGTAGTAATTTTCTGTGAGCTTTCTGGCAGGAAGGGAGAAAAAGGATTGTTCCTAATGAGGTACTTAATTTTAAAGGTAAAAGGATCCTGGATATCTTCTAGTCGTAACCCCCTAGCTAGGTAAAAGCCAGGCCATGATTAAAAATCATGTCTTAATCCCCTACCCCTATACTGTCCCTCCCCCTTCCCTCTCCCCCGGATAACAACTAACTTGTTCTCTATATCTGTGAGTCTGCTTCTTTTTTGTTATACTCACTCGTTTATTTCTTTAGATTCCACATGTAAGTGATATCATATAGTATTTGTCTTTCTCTGTCTGACTTATTTCACTTAGCATAATGCCCTCCAAGTCCATCCATGTTGCTGCAAATGGCAAAATTTCATTCTTTTTTATGGCTGAGTAGTATCCCATTGTACACGTATACCACATCTTCTTTATCCATTCATCTGTTGATGGTCACTTATGTTGCTTCCACATCTTGGCAATTATAAATAATGCTGCTATGAACATTGGGGTGCATGTATCTTTTCAAATTAGTGTTTTTGTTTTTTTCGGATATATACCCAGAAGTACAATTGCTGGGTCATCTGGTAGTTCTATTTTTACTTTTTTGAGAAACCGCCATAATGTTTTCCACAGTGGCTGCACCAATTTACATTCCCGCCATCAGTATGCAAGGGTTCCCTTTTCTCCACATTCTTGCCGACGTTTGTTATTTGTGTTCTTTTTTTTTTTGCAATATGCGGGCCTCTCACTGTTGTGGCCTCTCCCATTGCGGAGCACAGGCTCCAGACGCGCAGGCTCAGCGGCCATGGCTCACAGGCCCAGCCGCTTCATGGCATGTGGGATCCTCCCGGACCAGGGCACGAACCCGTGTCCCCTGCATCGGCAGGTGGACTCTCAACCACTGCGCCACCAGGGAAGCCCTATTTGTGTTCTTTTTGATGATAGCCATCCTGACAGGTGTGAGGTGATATCTCATTGCTCTGCTCTTTTAGTGTGAAAGCAGCCATAGACAATGTGTAAATGAATGTGCATGGCTATGTTTGAATAAAACTTTTTAGACCCTTAAATCTGAGTTGCATTTAATTTTCACATATCACAAAATATTCTTCTTTAGATTTTTTTTCAACCATTTAAAATGAAAAAAAAGTTTCCTAGCTCATGGGTTGTACAAAACCAGGTAGAGGCTATATTTGACCCTTCCCCCCACCAACTCATAATTTGCTGAGCCCTCTTCTAGATTCCTGTTTTTAGATGAAACTGATTAAACCAATCAAGGCAGATAAGTCTGTATGATTTTTAAAGTTCTTCCAACATGCAGTTTGTCCAGTCTACACTGATACTACCTTCTAGTGGTTTATTGTCCCTCTGCTGTATCTTGCTGATCTCTGGAGGACCCAGTAATTTTGAAGTGTCTTATTCTGGGAGCCAGAAAGGTTATTCAGACCATAACCCTGTTACTTGGTCATTAGCTCTGACTGGTCTAGGGTGAATCATTATTGAAAATATTGAACGGAATTTGTAATCTTACCTCCCACGATTCTAATGGCTCCCAACAACCACCTGGGTACTGTGGCAATATCAGAAACCCATCTCAGAAGTACCAATTCTCGTGTTAAAATTCTTGCTATGCCATCTCACTTGACTCAAATAAGTAGATAGTATTAATAAGTGCTAAAATCTCGGCCCATTGCCTATTATGTAATAACACACTTCAAAGAGAAGATATTGGGATGGAGTGTAATAACACACTTCAAAGAGAAGATATTGGGATGGAGTGTAATAACACACTTCAAAGAGAAGATATTGGGATGGAGTAACAGACTAAATTTTCAATGCCTTTAGCCCAGGTACAAAATTTTTAATCTATTGGTCAATTTTAAGAATTATTTCTCACTTTAAATATAAGAAAGTATTTTTCAAAAGCTTTATTGGACTCATAGATGGTGTTAGTATATCACTGACTCTGCCAACACTAATTTAGTTACCCATGAAATGCTGAGTCAGTTAAAGCTTAAGAGTTCCCTCTTTGATTTGCATTTGACTTAGACAATAAGGAAAATATTCAGCCAGTCTTTAGTAAACCTCTGAAAGCCATCTGTTTATCTCTTGGAAATCAAGAGATACAAACTCCAGTAACAATAGGTATAATTTAAGGAGAGCTGTCAAGACAGTATTTTCTAGACTTTTTGTCAAAAGATTTTTTGTCAAGAATTTTTATATGGTTCTTTTCCTTTTCTGCAAAATGCATTTAAATGATAATTTAAAAATTTTAATAGCATTAATTGTAACATCAAAGTAATGTAATATGCTATAGTTAACATGGAAATCATAAGGCTTTACTTACCTTGATTTTTTTCTCCTATTAAAGCAACCAAGCAGGCCAACATAATTCCTGCCCTCCTTGGTACTGGCCTGCAAGCTCAGGACCAATTATTTGTACCCCTGAGGTATGCCTCCTTCCGTACTGAAGACTACTTGAACCATTAACTGAGTAGCACTGGGTTCCCTCACTCTTGGTTCCCTAACTGGCTATATCCTTAGGATATTCTATCCCACTGGCATGCTTCCCATTATTGTATCTTGAATGGAGCAGCACACTGGATTATATGGGTTCCAGAGGTGGTTACTGTTGCCACCCCTTAATTCTGTCCCTTATTCCATTGCATAATAAAAGTAATTTAATCCTTAAACCTTAAGTAGCTACTATCAGATTTCATCAGTGTAAGACTTTTTTCCCCATATTTTAACATCTTTGAAAATTGATACGGATCTTATAATCGATGTCATGCCTTTGTTTAGTTGGTAGCATTTTTCTTTCTTAGTGGTATATAAAATAATGATCATCTTAAAAATCAATGGTATCTTAGATTCCATGAAACATGGTATATGCCAAGTACCCTTAGCTATGTGCTGGGATTACAAATTGCCCTCCTCTGCAACACACACACACAAACACACACACTTTTCACTGGAAAAGAAATTCAGTGACAACAAAGAATTTGAGAGGAAGATATATAAATTGCATACAATACACTTTACAAAAGAGGAATATGAGCTTGTTTGATTTTATATCTGCCTCTAATTTTTAATATAGTCCACATATATTATCACGTTTACCTAGATAGTATGTTGTAAGTTATCTAAGTAACACATAAACAGTAAGTCACCATTGAAGTGCATTATACATGTACATTGTGGGGAGGATGTTTGTGTTCATCTCTTTTGCTGTTGGGAATATGGATGAATTCATATTTGAACACAATGCACAAATGTCCTAAAGTCTAATATTCGAAAATTATAGGTTAAAAATACACATATGTACATTCTTTTGCTCAATTTAACAAATATTTACTGAGCACCTAAGGCATGCCCAGCACTGTTCTGGGGGCTGAGGTTACATGCGTTAATGCAACAGATAACAGAGCCTATGGTAAAATGAGATGGTGATAAGGGCTAGAAGAAAAGGGTTGGAGAGTGCTGTTGTAGGAAAGGGCTAAATTTTAAATAGAGTTGTCAAGGGAGGTCTCCCTGAGAAAATAACATTTCACCAGACACCTGATGGAGATGAAGGAGCAAGCTGTGTGTTTATCTGGGGAAAGAACAGTCTATGTACAAGAACATCAAGTACAGAGGCCCTAGGCATGTTTACTTATACATCTGCACTCTGAACTCTAGTTTTAACCAAACAACTCATGATGAATTTTACCAATAATGTTGAAGCTAAACTCACAGCATTCTGTAATTTAGAAAGCAACCCATAATAGTATCAGTGACACACTGATAATGAAGCTATCTTCCTGAAAATATCAGGATTTCCAACTTCTAATATTTTCTCAGTTCTAAAGCATACGTTTTTTTTTTTTACATTTGCAAGTTGGAATGCATCTTATGGTCAATGGGTACATTAATGCAGTGTTTCCTTTTTCATTAAAAAACTGTTACTAAATTGATGGTATGTCTTAGAGTTAGATTTGGTATTAGAATCAAGGAAATGGGATGCCATTGTGTGCACATTGACATGAGTTTTGCAGCATTGCTAAGAGTTCTGAGGTAGCTATACTTGTAATACTGAATTGGAATCCACAGTAAATTCTAGATGGCATGACTGTTTTAGTTTATGAATACCAGATTTTTGTAATCCTTGAAAAGCTTTAAGTAGCCCTTAGTTGTTTGTTAAGTTAAAGCTATGGAACTTAGTGTCATTTGCCCATAAAAAACAAAGAACGAGGGCTTCTCTGGTGGCGCAGTGGTTGAGAGTCCGCCTGCCGATGCGGGGGACGCGGGTTCGTGCCCCGGTCCAGGAAGATCCCACGTGCTGCGGAGCGGCTGGGCCCATGAGCCATAGCCGCTGAGCCTGCACGTCCGGAGCCTGTGCTCCACAACGGGAGATGCCACAATAGTGAGAGGCCCGCGTACCGCAAAAAACAAAAACAAAAACAAAAAAGAACAGACTTGCATTTCTGGATCAGTTTACAGCTTAACTGGAAGGACTTGTTTACTTACCATTTGCTCCTACTCCATACTTCAGCATTGCTATAGGGCTGAATAGGAGAGATATAGAATCTACGGGACTTGCTGACTAAAATATCAGGGAAGAATGAAAGGGAGGAGTTAAGGATAACTTCTACGTTTCTGGTTTGGGTGACTGGGTGAAATTCAGAGTTTTCAAGATGTGCTCTGTGCGTTTACCCTTGCTCCAGCCAAGATGGTCTCCTTAACTCTGGTCTTTACTTTTGGCTTCTCCCTGTCCTGCCTGAAATACCCTTCTCTCTATTTAAATGTTACTCATCCTTTAATACCCAGCTCAAACCCTTGACTCTAGGAAGTCTTTTTTTATCCACCCTAGTTGACATTGACTCTCATAAAGAGTAACAGACACAGGTCAGGATTCATGTTGGTTGTTTCCCCATACTGCGACCTTTTCTAGCCCTAATGGTGAGTGATTAAAGTTTTTCTTGTATATTTGAGGACAAATGGAACCTTGTTACTACCATCCCTGGCCTTGCTTGAGTCTTATATCCTTAAGTCCAAATGGCAGTAATTGAACCAGTAGTTACCTCTGAATTCTCCTATCCTGTAATGGCACCTGTCATGAATGATGAAGAAAACACCCTACATGTCTTCATTTATGTGACTAGGCTATCCTCTGGATATTGAAATTTAAGCCTTCTGTCAATATTAAAAGATTTGGGATTGTTATTTCCAGCGGTGGAGATAGATTGCTCCAAAGTGTCTCTTCTTTCAACCAATAGCATGTATTCATAAATGTTTGCACAGGAAAGGGTTTAGTTCCTAGTTTTGAAAGTTTTTTTTTTACAGTTTTGAAGCTATTTGGCACATGTGCGGATCAAACCAGCAAATCTGGCCACGTTAGCACCATGTACTAACCCACTGCACTTTTAATAAAGTGTGATTTTTCTTTAACAGGTCTGAATCATGAGATAGCAATCAGTGTTGCATTCCTTCCTGAGTATTCTCCGGAAGATGTCCGAACATCTCAAATAGACACATTATTGACCTGCATGAATTACAGCTGTGTGTTTCCACAGGAATTAACTGGCAATGACAGATTTCAAGGTCCAAAAACAGTTACAGGTAAGACAATCTCAGGATCTTTTCACTCAGAAAATAAAATTAATATTGCAAACAGTCCTAACCTTAAGATGTTATTATATAAATAGTTCTAGCCTTAACATTTGATATAGTTTAAATAATTATTAGGTAAAAGTACCCAAAGACTTATAAATGAGAATATATTTTTAAATAAAATTGGATAGATTAATGGTTTCTATTCCAGGCAGGCATTAAGAATGTTCTCTTATAATACATTTTTAAATGTAAGTATTCATTAGACCTAAGTGGTATGCACATGGAGCAGTGCAACTTCTACTCTTCTCTCCTTTTAATTCAGGCCTTTCACCTTATAATTGCCTGAAATCTCAATACCTCCATAGTATAGTAGAGTACAATTGTTTTCTCTTATAAATGTTCAGTTATTCAAGTGCTATGCAATAAATTTCTTCAGGACTGCTAGGAGTGTATGTAATCCCAGTAGTGAAACCCTTCAACCAACTAATTGTTTAGGCTGCTACATAATATCCTGAACTATAAATCATTTCTATATACCAGTAAAATTATGTGTCCAATTATAATTATCCTATTCACTTTCTGTTGTCATTTCTATTTCCTAAGCATGTGGTAAAGTTTCTAGCCATTTTCATCAAGCTTATAAGAATATTTCATTTTAAAAAGCTTTAAAGAAAGGCTTTATTATCTTGGGATTTTTGTGGTGCGTCTTTCTAAGCTGATGAAACCCTTGAGTGGGTGTTGTTTTTAAACAAGTCTTTTGAGCTGTACCTGATGATGAAGTAGCTTTTGGCAGTAATGGTTACTGCAAACTGAACTTGAGTATCTAATTTTGTAAGAGATGAGGTTTTTTTATTTTTCCACAGTCCATTTTAAAGATAGTATATTAGTTAACTTGCAGTATTACTTCTTACATTTCAGCTCCTTAGACTTACAGTAACCCAGATTTCGTAATTAGGGCCCTAATATGTACTTTAAATATTTGTGCACTCATGTTCTTGTTTCATGCAGTATCCACTTCTGTCATGTTTCTTCTGCTATATGTGTATGTTATTATTGATATAAAAAATCAAGGCAAAATCCTCAGGTATCTACTAGTTGCTAGTGCCAGTAGTCTTCCAGCAGTCGCTAACATGGTCAAGTGAAAATACCTGGTACCATTCTGCCAAACCAGTTAGTATTTTGGGACATGAAGGGCAAGAATCACTAGAAAAGTGATGTAATCAAAAGCAAGTTGATTCATTTTGAACATGGAATACCGTATTTTTCATGACATAATGATAGTGTCCGTTTAGCTCTGTGCAAAGCATTGTGCCTGGACATTTTACATAAGTTACAACTAATCCTAACAAGAGACTTTCAAGGTAAACATTATTATCCCCTATTTATAGATGATTAGACTGAAAATCAGAGAGACTCACCAGCATGGATAACAGCTAGGATCTAAACCCAGATCAGTCTGATTCAAAACATTTCTATTCCCTCCATAATTACAAACTGAAAGATAAAAATATACAGAATAATGTAATGCAGTGGCTTATAGTATAACATTGGTATCATCTTTTAAACATTTTTATGAACTAGTTTCTTTTTTATTATAAAAGCTATACATGTTCACAATTTAAAAATTCAAACAATACCAAAAGGCACAGGGTAAAAGTGAAAGTTCCCCTCCCTGCCTTTGAAGGTCCATCCCCTTCTGCCAACCTACTCACCCACTCTCTGGAGGTAACCAGTATTCTTTGAATCCTTAAGAAATTATTTTTGCATATAACAGTATATTCTGTCTCTCACACACGCATACACAAACATACACTCTCTCTCTCTCTTAAGTACACACAAATGGAATTATAGTAAACATGGTCTCATAACCTACTTTTTCCTTGTAACACTGTGTTTTGAATAACTTTCATATTAGTATAGAGAGAGCTACCTTTCTCGTTTTAGTAACTATAAATATTCCACTGTGTAGATATACCTGTATTTACTTAATCAGTCCCCTATTGATGGACATTTAGATTGTTTCCAAATGTTTTTTTTTCTTTTTCAAATGTTTTTGATATTAACAAACAGTACTGCAATGAGTATATCTATCTGTGTGTATGTATATAATATAATCTTTGTGCGCTTACACATCTGTAGGATGAATTCTTAGATGTCACTGACTCAAAAGATATATGCATTTATAACAAGTTACACTTTAACCAAAAGAAAGAGTGCCACTTTACCCACACCCTTAGAAATACTAGGTGTTATCAGTCTTGTTAATCTTTGGCAGACAATAGGCAAAAGTATTATATCATTATCTTCATTTGCATATCTTAATTATTCTAAGCTTGAATATCTTCCTATGCTTATTGGCCATTTATATTTTTTCTTTCTATGAACTTTCTATGCTAGCTTTATTTTTTCCATTTTTCCATGAGCATTCTTTTTCTTATTAATTTGTAAGTTCTCTTTGCATATTGAAGAAATTTACCCTTTATTGTGTGTTGCAATACTTTTACCAGTTTGACGTTTATTCAGTGGAAATCTTGATATTTTAAGTAATTTTATTTTTATGTAGTCAAATATATCAATCTTTCATTTCTATGGTGGCTGGTTTTATGTCATACTCAAAAAGGCATCACTCAGTCCAAGATTTTTTTTTAATTCACTATGTGTTTTTCTGATACTTTTATAGCTTTGGTTTTTTACTCATATATAATTTGTACTGTGGTAAAATATACATAACATAAAATTTACCACTTTAACCATTTTTAATTGTACAATTCAGTACATTTACACTAAGTACATTTACAATGTTGTGCAACCATCATCGTTACCCATTTTCATCATCTGAAAACAGAAGCTCTATACCTGTTAAACAATAACTCCCCATTCCCCCCTCTCCCTAGCTCCTGGTAACCTCTTATTTTACTTTCTGTCCCTATGAATTTGCCTATTCTAGGTATCTCATATAAGTGAAGTAATGCAGTTTTGTCCTTTTGTGTCTGGCTTATTCACTTAGTATAATATCCTCAAGATCCATCCATGTTATAATATATATCAGAATTTCATTTCTTTTTATGACTGAATAATATTCTGTTGAATGTATGTACCACATTTTGTTTATCCATTCATCTGTTGATGGACATTTGGGTTGTTTCCATTTCTTGGCTGTTATGAATAGTTCTGCTGTGAATATTGGTATTCAAGTACCTGTTTAAGAAGTCCCTGCTTTCAGTTGTTTTAAGAATATCCCTAGGAGTGGAATTGCTGAGTCATATGGTAGTTCTATATTTAACTTTTTGAGAAACAACCAAACCATTTTCCACAGCAGCTGCATCATTTTACATTTTCACCAGCAATGCATGAGGATCCCAATTTCTCCACATCCTCGCCAACACGTTATTTTCTGTTTGTTGTTTGTTGATAACAGCCATCCTAAAGCAGTATCTCATTGTGGTTCTGATTTGAATTTCTCTAATTACAAATGATATTGAGCATCTTTTCATGAGCTTGTTGGCTATTTGCGTATCTTCTTTGGAGAAATGTCGATTTAAGTCCTTTGCCCATTTTTGAATTGGGTTGTTTGGGGTTTTTTTTGCTTTTGATAATATGGCTTCATTTTTATAATTTAACATTTTAATCCATTTGGAATTTTATTTTGGTGTAGAGAATGAGATAAGGATCCAGCTTAATGTTTTTCCAAGGGATTAGCCATAGTTCCCAAATCATTTATTGAATAATACTTACTGTTATGGTGTTATAATTGGTATTATATTTAACTATGAAGTACAAGGATATATATATACACATATACATATACACACATATATGTATCCCACCTCTTTGAAAGCATTGTTTTCATTGATAAACATTTCAGAAGCATAGCATGATATGGAAAGGTTTTAACACATGTAAGAAATAATTTTATTATTCTCTAGATAATCAGAGTTTCTGATATTATTTTCAGAGGCAGGAATACCACACTATATTACAAGATAGGTTAGACTGTGCTGCAGTACAAAGCAATTCCAAAGTCTCAGTGACTTAATACAGTAAAAATTTATTTCTTGCTCAAGTCAAGTCTGATTCAATCAGTTATTAGCTTTCTCCCCACCAGTGATTCAGGAATCCAGCATGCTTCCATCCTGTTGCACCTCCAACAGGACCAAATGGCTTCTAGGGTTGTCTAGGCAGAGGAAGAAATAGATGAAGGAGACACTGACTTTTAATTTTGTTGGACCCAAACTGCCACATCATTTCTGCTCACATTCTCATTTGCCAGAACTTATTTACATGATCCCAAGCTAACTACAAGGGAGGCCAGGACACTTTGTCTCCCATGTGACCATGAAGAGGAAATGGAGTGGCAAACACAAAGCATTGCCTTTGTCACACTCACCTTCTGCATATGTGATGTTCCTAAAAATGTACAATTTTAGTAATTCCAACATTTTAAAGTGACATGTAGAGAAGCTCATTTTATAGGTAAAATCTATAATCGTTTTAAAACAATTCCTTTGTAATGTAAATAATAACATTTTAATTTAATACTAGGTTTTCTTAAGTAGAAAATGATGGTTGCTGGCATTTAATTAAGTGCTTACTATGTGTCAGCTACCATTCTAAATGCTTTTACATGCATTTAATCCTCACAACAGCCTATGATATAGGTACTAGATGAGCAGATTGAGGCGCAGAGAGGTTGTCATTTACACAAGTAGGCAGAGTTACCTAAACAGAAAGCTTACTTATACGTTATGTTGCAGGTACTACGTAAGTCATTATTTGTAGAATGATATGGTGACAATTAGAATTATTAAGGTTTGGGTTTCTGCTGTTAGCATCAAATCTGAAGATCTTGAAATCTTTCCAAAGCATCTGGATTAAAGTCCATCCCACTCAAAAAAGAAGAAAATTATATAGTACCAGCAGTTGTTATTATATTCATTGTGCTTTAGTGAACTTGCACAATTTTAAATCATTCATCAGATTTTGTGACATGCCTAGCAGATGTGGCTGTCCTATGCAGCTAATGAAGCCTGAGCTTGAGGAGCTCTCACTTGTGTAAATCCTTTCCACAGCACTTCTAGGGTTTTTTTTTGTGTGTGTTGTTGTATTTTGTTTTCTCTTTCATAAAGAGGACCCCCAAATAGTATACCTTTCAAGCCCCACAAAATCTAGATCCACTACTGGCCCTTGGTCACAATTTTGTAGAGATGTAGCTCTAGCACAAAAGGTTAAGAGCCCATGCCTTGGTGCCAGACTGTCTGGATTAGAATCACCCTGTGACTTTGCTTAAGTTACTTAACCTCTAAATGTTTTAGCTTTCTCATGTTTAAAATGAGGTCTTTGTCATGTGTAACCACTGAAGTCTGTGATACAGTAGCTTGGTAGTGGTCAGTTAGTGTTTTGAAAGAGATTCCTTAAATACCATTTTAGCCAAGAAGAAGAAGAAAAGAAAAACATTACTTTCTCACTTTTTGCAGATTGGCTCTGTGTTGTGGCACCCCTTCAGTGCTTAGCCAAGATGTTTATGACTCTGTCTTAGCCCTCACTTCCTGCTCTACAGAGACTGATGGTCAGCCAGAGGTGAACAATGAGAGTTTTCTCAGGCCGTTTCTGAACATGCATCCAGCACTGGGCATACATGTGGCCTTCTTGTTTCCTTGGAATACACAGGAGCTCTTAAAAGCTCATATTCCCCCACATATCTCTTTTCCCAGGCCCTTCCTCCCCAGGCTTTTTGGTCTGTCTATTGCTTGTCCCAACTTTAAAACCCTAATCTATCTGCTCTGACAAATGCTTTTGCCTTTATATGCTTTCAACAACAGCCATTGGGAAAGCTACCCTAGTCACGGGATGCTCCAAATTGGGTGAAACACAAGCAAGCTCTTGCATCTAACCTTGAGGGAGCTGCCTGACCCGTCAAAATACACAACCACATCTTTGAGAATAAGGTCTGCGTAGCTCCCTCTTGTGCTAGCAACCTGTACCAAGAGTACGAGCTGCCATCTTCATGGCTGCTACTGATCTGGGGAGTAGGCGGGCAGTTTAAAACACCACAGCACACTCTTACCATAGTGCAGCAACTTCTTTCTTCATTAATCTTTCACCAGGTTGTTAAGTTTTTGTCTAGATTCCAGAGTTCTGGAAAAGTTGATCTGAGAATTTTTTTGCCAGCTTATAAGTTGCTTTAGTGGAGGAACAGAGCCCTGAAATTCCATACTCTGCCATTTTCATCAATGTCACTCACCCGATCCATTCTTGATAAAGCTTCTTAAGAATATCCAAAGCTAAGTGTTAGTTAATAAAGCCACTTAAAAGGAAACATACTTTAAAAGAAGCTTCTTTTTTAAATTTTGCTTTATGTCTTGTAAATTTTACAAATAATTGATGATTGAATTGCAAAATAGAAAAATTTATCTTTGTATTTCCTTGAAGGGTAGTAAGAAGTTGTTTACTTGGCACCTAAATGACCTTGAAAATATGTAGATTTACTTTGCTCCACTAAATAAATAAATAAACAAACAAATAAGGCTTTGGAGTACCAGCCTGTATCTTGACATTTTTGGTAGCATCTGTTTGATGTATTCGCTGTTATTGGCAGAAATTACTATATTATAACTTTGATGAATGTATGTGATGAACTGGAGGGAAGAGGGAGAAGATGAGAGACACTGTTAATTATAAGAAAAAAAAATCAGCTTATGTGATACTAAATCCAAGTAAATATTTAACTATTTTACAATACTTACCATCTGCTTTTTACTTTTAGGTGATATTATAAAAGCAGCAACTGAATTGGATAAAGTGCATATCGTTGGTATCTTGGATATCTGTAATTTAGGTAACGGTAAAACAGAAGTCTATTTGCACAAAATTTATAGACCAGATAAAACTTCTTAAAAATTGGCAGATGAAATTATTAAAGGTTATAAAGAGGGCATGGCTTTAAAGATATTCTGTCAAAAAAAAGATATTCTGTCATTTTGTTGGTAATTTCAGTAACTGTTTCTCAGAGTATTACATACACTCTAAAGTTAAGTGGTTTTATGTTCGTCTTGTATTTGGAGCTAACACACTTCATTTTAAATTCATTCTTTGGAAAGGTCATTGAAACAATTTGTGTGTATCAAGAAAGTTCATCTTACTTCTTTCTATATGACTGTTATCTTGACTTGTGATAATTTGTGTTCACTGTTCTATTTGTGAAGTATACTTTTATTCTAAAGCCTCAGCATAAGGCATCCCAACTTAAGAGTAACTTTTCATGGACATTTAACATTTTATTCGGCTGTAATGGGGAATTTTGAATTGCTGATTTGAGGATTAAATTCTCCTAAAATGGTCAACCTGAATTTCTCAAAACCAAGGTAGTTTCTATCATTTTCAAAAGCACACATGGATTGTTATGTTCCATTTGCCTTGGTCTTTAGTTTGGTCAGCTGTACAAAGAGCATGCTAAATTAAATTGTTTTAAGGTTTTCTACTCCCTAATGTGACTTCTTATCCTTTGAATTTCTAAATGTTTTGACCAGTGTATGGTCTTAACGCCAGAGGCTACGGTATGTCTGTATTCTTGCTATGTTCATTTGTAATTTTGGTACATGTAATGTGAGTTTAAATAGTGAAAATTTATCTCAAATTAACATTTTAAGTGCTCATATTGAAAGTATAAAAGAGTAGCTAAGGGAATTGATTTTATTCTGGTTGTCTATCTTACTTCATTTTAACTGTAAATGGCCATTCCACATGTGCAAGATTCTGTGATTGACATCTATGTGGTTAGTTAGATGAGCCAAAATGACCATCACTTGAGTTAAAAAGTACTGTTTCGGGCTTCCCTTAGTGGCACAGTGGTTGAGAGTCCACCTGCCGATGCAGGGGACACGGGTTCGTGCCCTGGTCCGGGAAGATCCCACATGCCGTGGAGCGGCTGGGCCTGTGAGCCATGGCCGCTGGGCCTGTGCATCCGGAGCCTGTGCTCCGCAACGGGAGAGGCCACAACAGTGAGAGGCCCGCGTACCTCAAAAAAAAAAAAAGTACTGTTTCAAGATGAATCCGATTGTAGTTAAGCTATTAACTTTTAGGCTTCCTTCTAGCCCTGTGGTTCTGTAACTTCATATGCTATACATTTTAAATGTGTTGGGCATCATGAACCTAAAGACAGATGCTACAGTTTTTTCATAACTGTGTTCAATCTTTTGTTCTTTAAAATTGTGTTTAAACATTAATTAAAATAGGGAATCCTTCTCATGTTAAAATTTTGACTGTATTATTAAAGAAGTTAAAACCTATCTCATTTTGAATGTATTTGATGTTTTTCCTTCATATTTTTGGCCTATATTAGACCTACACATGCTTGCTAAATGAGCCAATATGATTCTTCCATATGGGTTGAAAACTGTTGTTTATCAAACAGAATCTGGGCTTTTGTATTAAGCTATTATAAACTTTAACAGGCAATTCAGTTTTAGTGCCTCATAAAAGTTGGAGAAGGGAAAAAGTTAATACTTAAATGGCTATTGACTAAAAAACCTCAGGCCGAGATTGCAAAACTACACACTTTAACAGGTGTAATTTCTGTTCTTATATTGAATGAGAAATATGAACTCATTATTAAGTTTTAGGATCCTGGACTTCCCTGGTGGCACAGTGGTTAAGAATCTGCCTGCCAATGCAGGAGACACGGGTTCAAGCCCTGGCCCGGGAAGATCCCACATGCCACAGAGCAACTAAGCCCGTGTGCCACAACTACTGAAGCCTGGGCACCTAGAGCCCATGCTCCACAACAAGAGAAGCCACCACAAGGAGAAGCCCGTGCACAACAACGAAGAGTAGCCCCCGCTCGCCGCAACTAGAGAAAGCCTGTGCACAGCAACAAAGACCCAACACAGCCAAAAATAAATAAATAAATTAATTAATTAATTTTTAAAAAAGATTTAGGATCTTTAAAAACAACTTCCATGGCAATTTGTTTTATATTATAGTAATGTTTCTATCCAAATTTGGAGTTAAACATCTGTGTCCACATTTCCAGTTTATGGCAAAATTGGATAGCTACTGTGGCAGTTTCCTAAGAAAAATAGCAAACTACATCAGAAGACCTTATCTTCAAGTGACAATATGTGTTGATTCTTTCCAAAGCAACACAAATATACTACTGTGGTGTCACTTTTATATTAACAAATCAGTTAGTAAATTATGAAATATTACATAGTCTACCACAAGACCACAACCTTTCACTGAAGTTTCTAATTTTAGATGGCACATGAGATCTACACATTGAAATCCTTTGATAAACTATTAAAAGAAGAATCTGAGTACATGTTTATCCTGCCACTTTTCTTTGTTGGAATTATCCTGCATTAATTTTATTCATATTAAGACAAGGACTTTTAAAAATTTTGAAACCCTTATTTGGTGACACTAATAATATTTGATGTTTTTGGCTAGATAACTTCTGCCAACATGGACTATAGATTATAACCAATTCTATTATTCTGAAGTCATTTATATGGTTTATAATTGAGCTGGTTGCTATTTTGCTAGTTACCTGTTCAGGTACAGTTCCTTTTTTTTTTTTAAGCATTGCTACCCATGAGTTTTCAGGTAAACTGATGGGAGGTGAAGTATGTATTAGTACAGCTTATTTCAGTAATCAGTTGTTTTTAGTAAGGAAATTTTAGGGAAAAGGGTTAAAATGAATACGTAAAACTAGATTTGGGGATTATCTGAAGATTTCAGTTATTTGAGATTATATTTGAGTCAAGTCATATTACATTAATGTCACATCTCCAAAATGGAAACATTAGATAAAAACTTATCTCTTGGTCTAGGTCACACCACCCACTAAATATTATCCCTCATTCTTACATTGTTATGTTGATACCACTTCTAGCCCTAAGTTTTTGCTTTCCTTTATACTTAAGAAATAAAAAGTAGATTTTGAAAAAACAGACTTAAAGCTAGCCACAGGTCTGTCCCTAAATCCCTGTGGAACTTTAAGGAAAGCCACTTAAACTGCTTGGCCTTAGTTTTCTTATTTGTAAAATTTGCAAAATAATGGTCCCATCCAGTTGTATGATTCTTTTGGTATGTTAATATAGTTATTAGAACAGTAAAAATGTCTTTGTGTTATTATCATGTGTGTCATGAAAATGTGGTTTTCTATGAAGAACATTTTAAAGTTATGATTAGACCATTATCAATTATAGCAGCTCATTACAACAAAAAAAATTGAAATATTTAAATCCCAGTTATTTTTATTGCTAATGTTCTTCCTAATTTGTTGCCTTTTCAGTGATTGATACATATATGTATTTTTTTCAAAACAGAAATCTGAAATATTTTAGCTGTTTTTAATCATATGCACATTTCCATTGAAAATCAAGTAACCTTTTTTTTTTTAATTTGAGTACTTCTGATGCTATTCTGAGATTATTGCATGTGACTTCTAGTCGCTTAAGATCTAGGAGTTGCCCCTAACAAGGTTTTTAATGTCTGTTTTGTAGATAGGAACCTGAAACAGAAAAAGACTAAATGATTTAATGTAAAATTGTCAAGGTGGGCTTCCCTGGTGGCGCAGTGGTTGAGAGTCTGCCTGCCAATGCAGGGGACGTGGGTTCATGTCCCAGTCCGGGAAGATCCCACATGCCACGGAGCGGCTGGGCCCATGAGCCATGGCCGCTGAGCCTGCGTGTCCGGAGCCTGTGCTCCGCAATGGGAGAGGCCACAACAGTGAGAGGCCCGCATACCGCAAAAAAAAAAAAAAAAATATTGTCAAGGCAATTAAATTTTAAGGTTGGGCTTATAACTCCAATGTCTGTTTCTTTAAACTCTAATTTGAGCACAAAGTAAAACGTTTGAATAATAATAAATTTTCAGCTAGTAGATTACTGTGAGATAAACTTCTCTAAATCCTAGGGTTCATAAAATAATGAGCCCAGTTATTGCAGCATATATCCAAGTATTTGAATGCCCACTCTATGGCAAGCACTGAGTTTGCACTAGGAACACAATACAATACAAGCAAAAACAGACATGGCCCCTACTGTCATAAAGCTTACAGTGTTGTGGAGGAGAAAGACATTCAAATAATTGCACAAATAAATAAGATAAATTTCACAAAGGAAGCTGGCCAGGGGGCATTGGGAAAGTTTTTCCTGAGGAAGTGAACTTGAGGTGAAAAGGCCTTGCAGCACAAGGTGTGCTTGAGAACTTGAATGAGAACTGATATGGCTGGAGTGCGGAAAGTTGGATACAAGATGAGACAGACAGACAAAGGCTCTTGCAAATTACACAGAGCCTTATAGTCCATGGTAAGGATTTTAGTATGTATCTTCAGAGCACTAGGAAGCCATTAAGTGGTTTGTGGCCAGGGATATGCCTTGATTCGATTCATGTTTTAGAGTGGTCACTGTCTCCTGGAAGGAGAATGGATTATAAGAAGGTTAGCAGAGACTGCTAGCTGTACCCTAATACCTATTCTATAGTAATAGTTCTCCCCATGTTTAGCTAAGCACATGGCTACGTAGAATAAAGAATACTTTTCCTTGCTTCCTTTGTAGCTGGATATGGCCTTGTGACTATTTCTTTTATTTGGCTAGGGCTAATATTAAAATTAATTTCTTTTGAACATACACCAAGTCAGAGTCACCCAAGGCAGAACTGGAAGTTTGCTATGAACAATCAAGGGGTACCTGTATTCTATTAGAAACACAGCCCTGTACTTCCTCATCTTTATTTTTTATTTATTTATTTTTAATAAATTTATTTATTTATTTATTTTTGGCTGCGTTGGGTCTTTGTTGCTGCACGCGCGGGCTTTCTCTAATTGCGGCGAGCCGGGGCTACTCTTCGTTGCGGTGCATGGGCTTCTTATTGGGGTGGCTTCTCTTGTTGCGGAGCACGGGCTCTAGGCTCACGGGCTTCAGTAGTTGTGGCACGCGGGCTCTAGAGTGCAGGCTCAGTAGTTTTGGCTCGCAGGCCCTAGAGCGCAGGTTCAGTAGTTGTAGTGCCCGGGTTTAGCTGCTCTGTGGCACGTGGGATATTCCCGGACCAGTGCTCAAACTCGTGTCCCCTGCATTGGCAGGCGGATTCTTAACCAGTGCGCCACCAGGGAAGTCCTTGTCATCTTTAAATGGTAGGTTTGCCATAGCTGTTATTCAATCATATGGAAAAAATTGAAATGTTCCTTGCTTAAGAGATGAGTGATTCACTTCTCTATACTTTAATTAATATTGTGTACCTTTGCTAAGATACTTAATATTTATTAAGGTACAAGTAGTTGAAAAAGTCCAGTAGTATTAAATGTTTGAAACATAGCAGTGGTTCTCAAACTTGGCTTCATATTGGTATCACCTGGAGAGTTTTAAAAATTACTATGCCTGGGCTTCCCTGGTGGTGCAGTGGTTAGGAACCCACCTGCCAATGCAGGGGACACGGGTTTGAGCCCTGGTTCAGGAAGATCCCACATGCTGCAGAGCAGCTAGGCCCGTGTGCCACAACTACTGAGCCTGCACTCTAGAGCCCGCGCGCCTAGAGCCGGTGCTCCGTGACAAGAGGCCACCGCAATGAGAGGCCCACGCACGGCAATGAAGAGTAGACCCTGCTCACTGCAACTAAATAAAGAAAGCCCACACGCAGCAACGAAGGCCCAACACAGCCAAAAATAAATAAATTAATTAATTAAAAAAAATTATTCCTACATGCCACCCCCACCCCAGGTTTCTGATTGGAGTGTAGCCTGGGCGTCAAGAGAGTCAACATCTCCCCCAGATGATTCTAATGTGCAGACAAGTTTGAAAACCACTGTTACATAGTCCTGTTTCAAGCACTTGTTAGTTTTATTAGAGATCAAGCTTCACCCAGTACTTTGAACTTACCTCCTATCTAGGTGCTATAGTTCATCTGCTCTCTATGCAGCTTCCACTTCAATTGTTCTGATAAGGAAAAATTAACAATTGATAGTTTTGAAACAACTTTCATTTTCATAGAGTTCTAGCATGGCAGATCTGGAAAAGACTTGATAGATAAATTTTAACCCAACTTCTTTCATTGTGTAAAAGAAGAAAAAGTCCAGGAGAGGTTATTATTTTCCTGAGGATATAACACTAGCTGTTGCAGTATCAGCACTTGCACAACCTTTTGGTTTTTAAGATAACTTCAGAAATGTTCAGAGAACCACCTAAAGTACAAATAAAACATCAGACCTTTATAGATTGGAAGTTGAAGCACGATGAGGTTGAAATAAAATGACAGCAGCTAATCTGTCAAAACTACAACTAGGACTTCCCTGGTGGCGCAGTGCTTAAGAACCCGCCTGCCAATGCAGGGAACACGGGTTCAATCCCTGGTCCGGGAAGATCCCACATGCCGCGGAGCAACTAAGCCCGTGTGCCACAACTACTGAGCCTGCGCTCTAGAGCCCGCGAGCCACAACTACTGAGCCCACGCACCACAACTACTGAAGCCCGAGTGCCTAGAGCCCGCGCTCCACAGCAAGAGAAACTACCGCAATGAGAAGCTCGCACATTGCAATAAAGAGTAGCCCCCACTCACTGCAACTAGAGAAAGCCCACGCGCAGCAATGAAGACCCAACGCAGCCAAAAATAAATTAATTAATTTAAAAAAAACTACAACTAGATCCCGTACTATTCATCATGTACAACTTGTACGATCTAAAGTTCTTAAATTGTAAAGTGTGTAAGAATTACCTGGAGAGCTATTTAAAATGTGAATTCCTATATATATTCCTCCAATTTTGATTCAGGCTGACCCAGAAATCTTCACTTTTAATAAACTTCCAAGTGAGTCTAATGTAGGTGTTCCACAGATAAAATTTTAAAAACACTGAATAAGTACTAGACCACTCACCCCCCCCCCAGCAAATTACCTTAAGACTTAACTGGAAAATTGCATTGATGGGTATTTATCGTTCTAGGACTAATTTTACTTAACTGTAAAATTTTAAAAACAATCTAAAATTATCTTTGTGAGTTATGACTCTCTGAAAGCCATACAAGGAAACATAAAAGCACTTACATACAAGGTATATAATGCTGGTTACCATACAAAGTCATGCACTTCAAACTTCAGAGCAATTAAAATAGTTTAGCAAAGTTCACCAGCGCTGCCACAAAGTGTTATGGAAAGTTGTCATTTTAAAAGCATATAATGATGTTCCTTTAGAAGCAATTTAATAACTGGTAGAGAAGGTTAACTCAAATTTCTACAACTTTACTAATGAATTGCCTGTTGAATGCTGATGTTGAATTTATCACAGATGTCTATTAGCAATTAGCAGACTAATCATTTTGACAATAACACTTGTTTTCAGTTTGATAGTTTTCTTTATCTAGTGAATACAGTCTTTATTATGAGTTTTAACGTTGGCGATAGTGTTTACTCTGAAATAGACCATGAGCTAATACACAAGACCTTTAAACTTTTCATGAATAATTATTAAGTGATTACTGTGTGTAAGTTGTTACTAATACCAGGTACTGTGAGGGAGATATGAGTAATCAGCAGCTGTAACAGGATAAAAAGGTTCATATTTCTATTGTGCATCTGCTGGGATTTATCCATCAGGTTCTACTGCAGATTCCGTGAACTCTCCTCTGCTGTTAACTGTTGGTTCCCACTTTCAGGGTCCACTCCAATGCTAATACCTCAGATGCCCAAGAACGGACAAGAAGTGTGTGTGGGGGAAAATAGCTTTATTGATCATGTCCTTCAACAATGTTTCCTATTTTCTGTTGTCCTGTCCCCTTGACTCTAGTGGTATTCCTTATTTCAGACTATTTTCCTTGGACTTCAGGCTACCATTGTGCCTGCCTTCCTTTTGACCTGGTGTCTTTCTGCTTCTCTGATAGCCTGTTGCCTATTTGTGTAGTTTGCTGACTCTTGGCCCAGTCAGACTCCTGATACCTCTGTTTGTCTTGTTGTCCATTCATCTACTCCTTCACTAACCCCTGATTCACTTTGTTATAAAGCAGAAACTAACACACCATTGTAAAGCAATTATACTCCAATAAAGATGTTAAAAAAAAAGAATATATAAAAAATGCAAAAAAGAACAGAGCTTACAGTAAAGGAAGCGATGAAATAACTAAAGCTGTCTATACATTTGAAAGAACTAGAATTAAAATTTTTAAATGTTAAAAGATAAACCTTGAACAGTCTTTTGTTAGAGTATAACACATGGGACATAAAAATTAATGGAATGCATCAACAGATATTTGAGTGCCCACCATGGGCAAGGCCTTGTACTTGAAAGGATCTCTAACGACGAATATGTTTCCTTTTCAATGAATAAACAAAGGTAGCATAAGATGTTCCTTGGGGAGCCTGTTAAGAAAAATTCCACAAAGAAATAAGAGAAAAAGGCTGTGAAATCAATTCTACCAATGCCGTAGCAATTAAAATGATGGATCTTAACTTACTTCCGGCTGAACTGGTTGATAGCATTGTTTCAGCAGGGCTTGGAAAACCAGTTCGGTGTTTTAGATGATCTGAGAGAGGTGACTTTCATTTTGTCACATGGTAATCCCAAGAGTCCAGTTCCTCATTCCAATCCACTCCATGTTTATGAAAGTTCATTAGCTGGAACAGTAAGAAGAAAAAAATGTCAGTGAAGGAAGTCATCCAATCCTGATAAGTTGACATGTAGAATAAAGTTGATGGTGTTATTTATTGCTAAGGTAATCCTGGTTAAGGGTTACATGTGTGTACAGTTGGAGGAGGGGCAGGCAAAACGGAATGTAGCTAAGTAAAGTGAAATAGAGCTGATGTATTCAGAGCTTACGTTGCTAGAGGTGAGATCAGTTACCTACTTGCAGCTGAAATTTCAAACTTCTGCTTAGTGGGGACCTGAGTGGACAAATGGTGACTGATAGTTGGAAATATCAGCAGACATCTTAAATTTTATGCTCAAATGAATGAGCAATGAACCAGGAGAATAAGTCCAGTTGTTTTCAGCTGCTGGTAATTTTTACCTTTTTATTTAAAATCACAGCGCCTTTTTCAATGAATGCCCGTGTGACTGTGGCTTATTACAATGAAACCAGCAACTACACTTCAACAGAGACATGTGAATGTGGTGTTTATGGATTAGCCTCACCGGTGGCTAATGCTATGGGGGTGGTGGGCATCCCTAAGAGCAGTAACTACCTAGCTTGTGACTACAACACTGAATTTACTAATACTAAGAAGCCCTGGATTGCACTGATAGAAAGAGGTAATTGTACATTTTCAGAAAAAATTCAAGCAGCAGGCAGAAGAAATGCTGATGCTGTTGTGATTTACAATGTTCCAGACACTGGCAACCAGACGATACAGATGGCAAATTTCGGTAAGTAAGAACTGATTCCCAAAGAGGGTGAATGTCTTTGTTTCTCTTAACATGGTATTTCCATCTACAATGACTCAGGGTCTGGCAATGAGGTTGTAAAACAAGTGTATTTTAAATTTTCTTGCCTGGCACTACTCTGAATTACTTCACTATTATTTAATATTGGCAATTAATTTGTTTCAAGGTCAAAAGCAATTCATGAAGTGGTTCCTGTTTTCTTTCACGATGTTCTTAGCTCTACTAGTTTTCTCAGTGTGTATTACAGAATTGCTTTTTAATAAATGTGCCTTTACCTGTAACCATTCAAGAAAATATAAATATTTAAATTTCATTCTTAATTTGTACTTTTCAGTTTGATTCAGGGTTGTATGTATTCAAGTGTGCAGTAACTGCAAAACTGATTCATTATTATGATTAAACAGTAGCATATTGTAAGTGTGAAAAATGCTTACAGAAATGAGAATTCAACTCTGCTGTGTGCATGTGATATTTTAATGTCTGTGGGACTAATATACCTAAAACTACTCTGTAAGAAACATTATACATTGAAAACGGTAAGGCTGAAATTGGATACCTCTGTAATTCACACCAAAAGTAAAGATTTCCCTTAAAAATGTTTACTTATGACTTCTTAAGTAAATATAATTATCAAATTTATTAATTTTGTGAAGGAATGTACTTCTTAGAATTACTGTTTTCATTTTGTAAAAAATGCCACTTTCCAAATAAATGGTTTTAAACTAATGAAGAAGTAGACTTCTGAAACAAGTTTTCTATACTGTAGGTGGGTAAAGGTTTTTTTGACCCCAGACTTGGCCAAAGGAGAAAAATGGTAATTTCAAACAGGGTAAGATCTGGTCGAACACAATACCAGGATAATTGGTATTCTCACCACCAAGTTTGGCCTCTGAGAAGATTAATGTAAATTAAATCAACCAGATTTCAGAACTGTAAGAAAAAAACAAATTTGTGTTAAGAGTAGTAGAGTGGAACATCCAGGTTGTGTACCTACAGTATGGCAATTTAGTACTAATCTTTGAAAAACAAGCTGCTTGTTTCTCTGGGTATCAAAAACTAGGTAACATGGTCTTTAACAGTACAAAATTATTGTAAATGTACAAAGCTCTACTCGCTACCTTTTGTAATATATCCTGGACATTTCGAGAACCCAGGCATTCACATTTTTTTCTTTTGAAGTTAAGAGCACTTCATAAACATTATCTGCATGTACCTATAATTTTACGAGTGAATTTTATTTTTGTAGAAATAAAATGAGGTGGCTTTCTGTTGAAAATTAGAAATTAAACCTTTTCTAAGGAACCTACTTGCTCTATGTTTCAACTTAGAGATTCTGAGTATTCTAGGTTTCCTTTTACATGCATAGCCACATTCTGCTGTTCACTCCCCTGCTTTCTTTGGGATAATTTTCTTTCTTTTTTTTTTAATTGAAGTATAGTTGATTTACAATGTTGTGTTAGTCTCAGGTGTACAGCAAAGTGAATCAGTTATATATATATATATATATATATATATTCTTTTTCAGATTATTTTCCCATATAGGTTATTATAAAATATTGAGTATAGTTCCCTGTGCTATGCAGTAGGTCCTTGTTGTTTATTTTATATATAGTACTGTATATATGTTACCCCAAAATTCCTGATTTATTATCCGTCCCCACCTTTCTCCTTTGGTAAACATAAGTTTGTTTTCTATGTCTGTGAGTCTGTTTCTGTTTTATAAATCTTCTGCTTTTTTAAAAGTATAAACAGTATCAAACTAAATAGTAGTCATGTTTTCCAAACTTGCTTTGCATCATGCAGTAAGGGCCAACTACTGGGAAGTAGGTGCTCAGCCACTGAATTTAAAAGACTGACCAAAACAGTAAATGTCTCCAAAAGGCATGCACAGTCATTTGAGTATATGTCTCTGAGCAGAATTTAAGAAACAAAGCAGTTACATTTATCATTGAATATATACTTCCAATATAATCAAGGATATGTGATCAAAAACATTTTTTAAAGCTACGGCATTGCCCGTTTTAAAATAAGCACATTTGAAAAGATAGCATAATCATAGTAATTGTAATAGTTAATATTTATTGCCATTTAATATATGTCAGGCACTGTTTTAGGGTCTTTATTTAATGAATGTTGATCTTTAACGTTGAACGATCTTAACCCCAAAGAATTAAAATTGTAAGTTTAGTGTTTTGCCGTTATAAAACCTGTCAACTAGTGTGTCATTGGAGTTCTTCCTTCCCAGAAATTTCTCTTATATAGATACTATTATATGATGCAGTTGACAAACACAGGGAAGGGAGTGTGGATACGAAAACTCTATGATCAGCCCCTAGACCATTAAAGATTGAGTCATTATTTTATAACATAAGCCAAAATTGTGTTTGTTTTTGCTGTCTTTCATTAGGGTTTTGTTTAGGCACAGAGGGTAGGGCAACAACTCCTCCTCCTCCTCCTCCAAAAGCTCAAGGCTTTACCATCTATCACATTATCTATTTTTTATTAGTTATCTATTTTATACATATTAGTGTATATATGTCAACCCCAATCTCCCAATTCATCCCACCACCACCACCCCCCGCCAAACTCCCCCCTTGGTGTCCATACGTTAGTTCACTACATCTGTGTCTCTACTTCTGCCCTACAAACCAGTTCATCTGTACCATTTTTCTAGGTTCCACGTATATGAGTTAATATATGATATTTGTTTTTCTCTTTCTGACTTACTTCACTCTGTATGACAGTCTCTAGATCCATCCACATCTCTACAAATGACTCAATTTTGTTCCTTTTTATGGCTGAGTAATATTCCATTGTACATATGTAGCACACCTTCTTTACCCATTCGTCTGTCAATGGGCATTTAGGTTGCTTCCATTACCTGGCTATTGTAAATAGAGCTGCAATGAACATTGTGGTACATGACTCTTTTTGAATTATGGCTTTTTCAGGGTATATGTCCAGTAGTGGGATTGCTGGGTCATATGGTAGTTCTATTTTTAGTTTTTTAAGGAACCTCCATACTGTTCTCCATAGTGGCTGTATCAATTTACATTCCCACCAAAAGTGCAAGAGGGTTCCCGTTTCTCCACACCCACTCCAGCATTTGTTGTTTGTAGATTTTCTGATGATGCCCATTCTAACTGGTGTGAGGTGATACCTCATTGCAGTTTTGATTTGCAGTTCTCTAATAATTAGTGATGTTGAGCAGCTTTTCATGTGCTTCTGGGCCAACTGTATGTCTTCTTTGGAGAAATGTCTATTTAGGTCTTCTGCCCATTTTTGTATTGGGTTGTTTGTTTTTTTAACATTGAGCTGCATGAGCTGTTTATATATTTTTGAGATTAATCCTTTGTCCATTGATTCGTTTGCAAATATTTTCTCACATTCTGAGGGTTGTCTTTTTGTCTTGTTTGTAGTTTCCTTTGCTTTGCAAAACCTTTTAAGTTTCATTGGGTACCATTTGTTTATTTTTGTTTTTATTTCCATTACTCTAGGAGGTGGATCAAAAAATATCTTGCTGTGATTTATGTCAAAGAGTGTTCTTCCTATGTTTTCTTCTAAGAGTTTTAAAATGTCTGGTCTTACATTTAGGTCTCTAATCCATTTTGAGTTTATTTTTGTTTATGGTGTTCTAATTTCATTCTTTTACGTGTAGCTGTCCAGTTTTCCTAGCACCACTTATTGAAG